TTGTTTCCTTTTTTCAACAGATGTCAGCCCATGTGGATGTGGATGGGGACTGTCCATTGGCTGTTGTGCTCTGTCAGTATACTGACATTGGATGCAAATTCAAGGTGAGAGTGCACTGGGGGGTTAACAACATTTCAGTTTTGGTCTTTGAGCCTTATTTGCAGACTTATGTTGAACAGTGTAAGCAACCAACTGATGATAATAATGATAATGATAATAATAATAATAATAATAAAACTTTATTAACATGTCAATGTATTTAGCTTTAAATTAGCTAATTGGGATGACCTAAGTCTTAAGCTTACAACAAGTACAAGATGACTTAAAAATGAATATTAAAATTAATTAAAATTATTTACAGTATGATAATTGATACAATAAATAACTTAATAAGATGTTATAATAAATAAAGAATTATCGTAGTTTCGTGTTTATGATTTACACAGTTTATAGCAACTGCTGTTATTCTTAATGAGATCTGAAAGGGCAATTTTCCTTATTCTGTTTCTAAATATCGCAAGGGTGGGTGACATCCTTAATCCCATACTAAGTTTTGACCAGATATATGGGCCCTGGTATCTTATTGTATGTTTTGCGTAACCTATGGTATTAAAATGAGGTATTTCAAAGACGCAGTTTCTAAGGGAATATTTAGAATTGCTAGAATTGAATAATTGTGATAGACAGCTTGGGACAAGATCGTTTTTAACCTTGTACATCAGAATGGCGATATCTTGTAGCCGCCTGTTATTTAGAGTCAGCAGTCTAGCACGAACGAGAAGATCTTCTCCATGATTATGGTCTTGTAATGGATGTGTACATAGTGAGGAAACAGTGGCACCTCTAGCCTGCGCAGTAGGGGTAATTTTAACAAGCATGGATTCAGTATTTTCTAGGTGAAAATTATAGCTGCCATCTTTGATGTTTACTGCAGCAGAAGTTTGGGGAGAGAAAGAAATTTGTACTGAGGGAGTGAGCAATGGTGAAAAGGAAGCAGGGGGGGAGCAGCAATATTACTTAATTCTTATCAACCGAGCAGGAGGTCTGTATGGGAGAATCTTGACCGAGGTCGCCAGTACAGACCTCACTCCGTTCGGTCTGTACCAGCAACCGAGGTCAAGATTCTCCCATACAGACCGACCTAGCTCGGTTAATAAGATGTTTATTGTATGGCTGTGTCTAGAAACCAACGCTCCATACTGTTCTCTATACATTTCTTAAGGTGCTAACAAAGAGA